GCCACTGCCCACCTAGCAGTTTGAAAGCAAGAGATTGCGAGTAGATAAACAGGGACCCCTTCGGTGGGAAGGGAACAGTGTTCCGTGTGCCTCGGTGTTTAGTCATGCCGGCCACATGGCCACGGGAACGTCTTCGGACAGTGCTGGCTCTTCGGCTTTGGAACGGAGAGGAGCACCGCAACCCTAGAGTTGGACTCGACTGGCTTTCGAGCAAGGGTGACCTTTCCCTTTTAAGTGCACGGAGGACTCTAATCTGGGAGAACCGGGTTTGATTCCCCACTCCTCCATTTGCACCTGGCTGGACGACCTTGGGCAAGCTGTAGTTCTGATAAGAGCTGTCCTTGAAAAAGAGCCGTTTGTGTCAGAGCTCTCTCAGCCCCACCCACCTCACAGGGTGTCTGTTGTGGGGAGGGGAAGGGTTTGTAAGCCGCTCTGAGACTCCAAGTGAAGAGCCGGGTATAAATCCAATCTCTTTTTCTTCAAGAACAATTTCTGTCAAGAGCTCACTAAGCCCCACCGACCACACAGGGTGTCTGTTGTGGGGAGGGGAAGGGAAAGCAGTTTGTAAGCCGCTCTGAGACACCTTTGGGTAGTGAAGGGCCATGGGGTATAAATCCAATCTCTTCTTCTTTCACACAGCCAGTCTGGTGTCCTTGAAAAAGAGCAGTTTCTGTCAAGAGCTCTCTCAGCCCCACCCTCCTCCCAGGGTGTCCGTTGTGGGGAGGGGAAGGGAAAGGAGTTTGTCAGCAGTTCTGAGACTCCTTTGGGTAGTGAAGGGCGGGGTATAAATCCAATCTCTTCTTCTTCTTCTTCTTCTTCTTCTTCTTCTTCTTCTTCTTCTTCTTCCTCTTCCTCCCAGGGTGTCTGTGGTGGGGAGGGGAAGGGAAAGGAGTTTGTCAGCAGTTCTGAGACTCCTTTGGGTAGTGAAGGGCGGGGTATAAATCCAATCTCTTCTTCTTCTTCTTCTTCTTCTTCTTCTTCTTCTTCTTCTTCTTCTTCTTCCTCTTCCTCCCAGGGTGTCCGTTGTGGGGAGGGGAAGG